CGACTTGGCGCTGGAAGGGCGCTTCTCGCGGCTCAGTGTCAGCGACGACCTAGGGCTGCTCGAGGTGCACTGCCCCGGCCCGGGCTGCGGCCCGGCGCCCGGGCTGCGCCGTCCCGACTGGGCGCCCCCTGGCGGTCTGGTCTCCAGCACCGCTGCGTCCCCGCGGGCAGGACCTCCGTGCCCCGGGGCACCCAGGCCTGCGCTGCGCAGCCTCTCGAGCCCCCAGGGCCCGCTGGCCCCTGGCGACCACCCACCACTCGTGGTCCCTCAGGGTGGCTTCTGTCCCACGGACCTGCAGAGTGACCTGCTTCCCCCTCTCAAGCAGCTCAAGGAGTCGTGGGTCCTCCCCCAAGCGTTCGATGAGTATCTGGGCCGCTCGGTTTGGGCCGAGTCAGGCTGGGGCGACGGCACCTTTGCAGGACCCTCTGAGTACGCGACACCGTCTGCCGACTGTGTGTTGGACCCTCGCACTCAGGCGCGCACGGCGCTCTGCGGCATCTTCCCGCCGGAGCAGGTGGACCGCGTCATGGCCTTGTTCCCCTCCCAGTCCGACATCACCAGGCTCATCCTTCTCATTCAGAGATACCAACGGGCTGAGGCGCCGCTGGGAAACCCCTAAGCAGTACGTTCAAGGGACTGCAAGTAATCTCCCCTGTGACGTGCGAACAAGCCATGTGGTAAACGAAAAGCACCAAACCCGTTGTCCTGGGCTGGATGCCGCCTCACAGCCACCCTGCAAAGACAGAACGAGCTGCCCCAAAGGGTTTCCCAGAAATCTTTTAAGGAAGCAGACTGCCAGGCAGACTGCCACATCTCTTTTCCGGACAGACTGGTGGGTTGGAATCACAGACCTTTGGGTTAGCTGCGAGCGCTTTGACCACTGCCACCAGGGCTCCTTGCCTGCCCTGTAGGGCCCTGCTTTCTTTAAAGACAGTTAGGAAAGACGGTTTCCTTATCGCCAGCAGTGACACTTAGTGACCCTCACTGACTATGGCTGTGCTGCACGGGGATCCACGTCCTGGGGGAGAAGGTTGGCTATGTCCCCAGGGGAGTGGTTTCTTACCTGATGGAAGACTGCAAGCCCACTGCAGCCCCACGGGTTCATGGGACATGTTAATGGCTATGGTCTCAAACTGCAAGTGAGGCCCCACAGGAGGGCTACACAACCAACTTAGTGGGTCAGCACCAGAAATGGGATGGGCTGGGTCGTGTGGGGCACACCCCAGGTCATAAGGCTAAGTATTATTTCCTGAAGCTTTTGTTATCCACACATGTGTGTGTCAATTTACCCTTGGTAAAATTTGTAAAAATTTCTTACCATGGGTCATAGTCAAATTTTGAAAAAATACTAGTAAATGGGCTTAAATGTCATTGTACCAAATAATGTTTGAAATATGTAGTCAGGGGGCTGTGGAGTTTCTGATACCTGGAGGTTCTCATGTTTCTAACCTCACCCCTGAGGGGAATCTATGTTCTAACTCTGATGGGTGGGCTCCCTTGTCACACTGAACTCAGATGACTGTGCTCGTCTGTGGAGGTGTGGCAGATACTTTGTGCTGAGGTCCTGTCTCTGGGGCCTTCACCCCCTTTGAACACACACAGTACACACATGTACCACACACAGATATCCCATGCACCTGACATACACATACCACACACAAACCACATATGCAAGTATAACACACATACCCCATACATCACATACATACACACTGCACACACTCCACTCATACATACCATGCACACACACACACCCCATTACATACATACACATACCACTCATACCATGCACATAGACATATATACCTATTAGCTCAGGGCTAAGCACCCCCATTTTTTGAGCTGTCCATCATGGTAATTCCTGGAACTGGAGTCTTCTAAGCCCCTCCTCACAGCTGAGCCAAGGTCTAGTGAGTCAGGACTCAGTCAGAAACCTCCAGTGGGCCAGCAAGAGAGCCGAGTGCACCCTTGATCTGAGGTTATTGCCACCTCCCCCACTGCTGCTGCTTCCAGTCAGCCACTGCTTTGAGTTTTGGGGAGCAGGGAGAAGGGCCCCACCCATTCCCAGTGGTTATGAAATGGGGACAGTGCTGCCAGGGCAGGAACCCCCACATCCTCACGGGGCTTTAGCGCTTTTGGGTGGTGTCTGCCTATTCCTAGCCATGACTCTAGCTCTCCAGATCTTTGCTTATTTGTTAGTTAGAAGACTTGTGGCCATTCTGGGTGAGTGTGAGGCACCCACTGGTGGAAAACCAGCCCCCCACTCTGTAAGCTTCCTCGGGTCTGACCAGGGCAGGGGGAGACTCGTTTTAGTTTATATCAAGCAGTCTGTAATGTTGGTACAGCCCAGGGTGCCTCAAAAAAATCCATTCGCAGCCATCTCATTCATGGCGAGCGTTGTCGCTGTGTGCTGTTGAGTTGATTCTGACTTGCTAAAGGTACTGATACTGTGTTTCCCTGTGGCTCCTTCTTTTCTTTTTTTAAAAATAATTTTATTGTGGTAAAAGATGTGTAACAACGAATTTTAATCATTTTAACTCTTTTTAAGTGTCCACTTTGGTGACATTAATTATCTTCACCACGCTGTATAGCTACCACTGCTAGGCATTTCCGAATCATCTTTATGAACTGTGTTCTTCTGGTGGCTTGAGCCAGGTCCTCCCACGCCTTTCCCAAAGAGAACCTTGCACCCGTAATTTTGCCGGAGTATTTGGGGACCTCAGTCCTGGAGAAGAACTGCTCTTTCTAGATACACTGAATTTTCCTCATGACTTTTTTTTTTTCTCTTGACAAGACAAACTTTCTGTTTGGGCTGCTGTCTGTCCGTCATGTCTGGCTCCTGCCTTGGAATCATTGCATTACTGATTTACAGTTGGAAATGTTTAAACAGCTTCCTTTGAGGACAAAGTTGAGTTGTAGTAAGCTGTAAAGCTATTTTTATTTGGTTCAGTGTGATTAAGACAAGCACAAAAACAAGTGCAGAAACAACACAGTTCAAATAATCCTCTTTGGAGTTTTTTTCCAAAGTCTTTGTATGTCTTTGTGACACAAAACATGGAAGGGACAGGTGAATGGACTGTCCCTAGCTGCATAGCTGTTACTGTACTCCGAAATAAATCACTTTTCCCCACATCTGGGCTCTTCATTGTCAAGTCGTATATCTGGTTTCTCTCACGTTCCTCCACTCTTTCCTGCTGGATTGGTTTTTCATGGTAAGTAATGTGGATGTGAAGACTGAGGTTATGACTGGTTTCAGCAGCTGCTACTCAGTGTGATTCCCCCCTTGGTGTGGAGGGGAGGGGGCTAGAGTCTGCCTTTCCTGGGGCTGGAATCCCTGGAGTCCCTGGGAGGCCCAAATGGTTATGCGCTGCGCTACTGAAAGGTTGACAGTTTGAATCCACTTGCAAGAAAGGTCTGGTGATTGACTACTTCTGAAAAATCAACCACTGAAACCCAGGGAGCACAGTTCTACTCTGACACACATAGGTGGCCATGAGTCGGAACTGACTTGAAGGCACTTGGGTTAGAATCCTCCTTTTCCAGGAGAGGCAGTGAAGCCCAAGGGTGTCCAGCAGCTTGTTCTCAAGGACACAAGCTGCTGGCCTGTTCCCTAGGCTTTCCACATCCTCACCACAGACTGATGAAGTGGTTGCATCAAAAGTGACTCTTGCAGCAGAGTCCTGGGGTGTGCACATCCGAGGAACCCTGGGATGGGCTGGTTTGAGCAGAACTGCAGAATTTGGATCTTGGGGTGGGGAGGGTGCAGTTGAAGAAAGGGGAGCCATTCATGGTGGCATTGTTCCAGATAAAATGGGTCCCAGCTCCCTTGATTTTACAGAGAACTCATAGGAGCAAGGAGCTAGCCACCAGCCACCACAGGTACAGCTCGAATGAGGCTACATAGCCTGCCTGCTTCTTGAAGAAAAGTCCACTTATGAGGGGGAAGAAGAGTACAGGGATGTGGTGGGGGGCATTAAGTAATGGGAAGACCCAAGATGGCGGAGATGGGGAAAGGGATTCTGGGAACTGGAGTGATTAATTGAAATCACAGAGACCCACCACTTGGGACTGCATGGAGCCAGGACCAGCTGCATCATTTGTAGGCCCCTTGTTCAAAGATGATGACTCTTCTTTTTTATTATTATTACATTTTTTATTGTGATTTGGGTGAAAGTTTACAGAGCAAATTCACGTTCCACACAGCAGTTCACATACACTTTGTCTCATGACATTGACTACAATTTCCCACAATGCAACACCTCCCTGCCCACTTCCTCCCCATAGTTACCTCTTCCCTGTGTCCTTCCCTCCCAGGCACTCCTGCCTCCCAAGCTGTCTCCCTTTGCATACACAGCCCTTCTATTCTCCCATGATTGATCTCTTCAAGGAGTGTATCTACCTATTGTAAATATTCAGTTCATATGCCTGTGTTTTTTTGTTTGGCTGGAAGCCACAGGAGTGGGTTCAATTCCAGACCTGAAGGGCAGGTAGGGGCCATAGTCTCAGTGGTTCCATCAGGCTCTATCAGATCAGCAAACCTAGTCCCTTTTTTTTTTTTTTTAAATGAGTTTGAGTTTTGTTCCACATTGTTCTCCCTCTCTATCCAGGAACTCCTACAGAGATTCCCCTTCAAGTGGTTGACAGTGGTAGCCAGGCACCATCTAGTTCTTCTGGTCTCATAGTTGTATAGGCTGAGGATTGTGTGGTGTACCAGTCCCTTGGACTAACTGTTTCCATGTGTCTTTGGTTTTCTTCATTCTTCTTTGCTCTGAATGAGGAGAGACCCATTGTTGCGTCTAGATGGCTGCTTGTAAGCTTTTAAGATCCCAGTCGTTACTCGCCAAAGTAGGATGTAGAACAATGTTTTTGTGTAGTATGTTATGCCAATTGATCTTAATGTCCCCTGTGACCATGGTCCTGAGCCCATAGGTCCAACTACTCACTCCCTCTGGATAGCCAGCTGTGGTCAAGAAGTGGTTACAACCTTGTCCCTTGTCATCTCTACTATATACCTGGGAATTCTTACAGAACATACAAATACACTTGTAGAAACATTGTCTGCCAACCCTATACATGGTCTTGGGCACACTCCCCCCTGCATGGACATACCTAATAGTTCAGCCTGTCCACCCATCTATCCGCCTGTATATCAGTGTTTGCTGACACTGACAACGTGGTACTGTATGTGCGACACGGCTCATCTTTGTTGTTTGTACCTCCCACATACCTTTCTATGTCTTCCTTTTCCTCAATGCCACTGTGCTGATTACTCACATTTGGTATTTTGCCCTTCTCTTCACCCAAATCAATACTTGTCTCTAACTATCTAACAATGTTCCCTCCCTTCCCATCCCTGGTAATCAACAAAGAAAATTTCCTTCCATATATAAACCTTTCCTTGACTTTTTACAATAATGGACTAATACAATATTTGTCCTTCTGTGACTAACTTATTTCACTCAGCATGATGTCCTCCAAGTTCATCCACATTATGCAGTGTTCTGCAGATTCTACATTATTCTTTAGGTTGCATAGTATTCCATTGTGTGTATGTACCATAGTTTGGTTACCTATTCTGTTGATGGGAACCTAGGTTGTTTCCATGTTTTGGCTATTGTA